CTAATTGGCAGTTACGATCTGGTATTTCCTATTCTCCTTCTCTCAGCTCACTTTCTCTCTCTATTCCTCTCTTCTCATCTTCCTTCTCTCTCTAACATCTACCATTAATTCTTCAGGTGAAAGGTTGGAATTCCATGGAGAATTGGTGCATTTGAGATTAGAAGCATTTTCTTCTTGTGACTTTTAGTTCTCAATTGTTGTAAACATTCGCTCAGTCAATAAGATCAAGTTTTCAGTTCCAATTTTGCATTTCAATTCCTAAGGATATTACAATTGGTATCAGAGCTCTTTCCTGGCCAGTACAATGACGGGAGCAGAAACGAGATCAAAAGCTACAGATGAGTCTATTAAGAAATTGGAGATGCAATTTCAACAGTATATGACTACAAATGATGAAAAGTTAGAAAATCTGGGGAAGAAGTTAGAAATGTTAGTAGATAAATTGCTTCCACCACAAGATGGTCTTCTGGGCAGTGCGCCGATGGAAAATCTCTCAAATGGGGGACAAATAACTAAACCAGGGATGGGAGAGAACAGGGAAACTCAAGGAGGGAGAATCCATGGCCATTCGTCTCAATCGCGAGTGGAGATGCCCTATTTTGATGGAGTAAACCCTTGTGCATGGTTGAGGAAGTGTGAAAGGTTTTTTCAGCATAATCATATCACTGATCCACAGCAAAAGCTCGAGGAGGCAGTCCTTCATCTCAATGGTAAGGCTGAATCCTGGTTTTTTTCCTATCACATAAGCAAAGGAGTAGTTAGATGGTCAGATTTTATTACTGAAATATGTAGCAGATTTGAAGGTGCATCTAATAGCAAATTAAACCTAATTGGAGAGTTCAAAAAAATAGAACAAACTGGGTCTGTAAATGAGTACTTGGAGAAATTTGAAGAACTCAAAGCTTGGGTGTTGATAAGGAACCCTACTATACCAGAAGAATTCTTCCTAGAATTTTTCATAGAAGGGTTAAAAGAGGAGATTAAGCATACAGTTAAGATGTTAGATCCTTATTCATTCAACAAAGCAGTGGAGAAAGCTAGACATAAGGAGAATTTATTAGAAGCTGTCACTAAGGCTGGGAAATCACAGGGAAACAAGGGATCTAGTACAGGGTACTATACTCAACCTAACAGGAGTGCACTTGGGGGTACTCAACCTAACAGGAGTACACTTGGGGGGTCCAACTATGCCAACAACAAACTATTTGAGAGTAGAAAAGCTCAAGGTTTGTGTTATAAGTGTGGAGAAAAATACCATCCTGGGCACCAATGTAAACCTAGGCAGCTTAATGCTATGTCAGCTGCTACTGAAGAAGAACTAGAGGAGACCCTACAGCAGGAGGAAACAGAATTGGTACCAGAGGAAGAGATAGTGGATGAGGACAATAAGCCTAAATGCACTATCGGGCACTGAAGTTCCCAACACTATTAAATTGAGAGGTGAAGCCAAGAAGAATTCCCTGACTATTCTGCTTGATTCAGGCAGCACACATAGTTTTGTGGACATGGAGGCAGCAAAGAAAATAGGTTGCCTTATATCAGAAGTTGTGCCTATGAGGGTGACAGTAGCAAATGGGAACTATTTGATGAGTTTGCACATTTGCCATAAATTCAAATGGAAGATACAAGGAGTAGAGTTTGAAGATGCAATCAGAATAACTAAGTTAGGGGGAAATGATATGATACTAGGGGGAGATTGGATGAAAAAGCATAACCCAGTCCTACTTGACTTTGTGGAGTATAAGGTGCAAGTAACTCACAAGGGGAAGAGGGTGGAGCTTAAAGGAATTTACCACCAAGCAGAACTTAAGAGCTTATCAACCAATGGAGTGAGACAACTACTGAAGAAAGGGCAAGCAATATGGTCTCACTTATTCACAATCTCAGCAGAAGAAGTGAAGGAAGCAAGTATCATACCTGCAGCTATTGACAAGGTGCTGAAGCAATTTCCAGATGTCTTCTTGGAACCAACATCATTGCCTCCAAGAAGAGGTCATGACCATTACATTCCCCTGAAATCAGATGCATTACCAGTAAGTATTAGACCCTACAAATACAGTTTTTTCCAAAAGAATGAAATTGAAAAACAAGTGAGTGATATGCTTAACAATGGTATTATTCAACCCAGCCATTCCCCATTTTCATCCCCTGTTTTATTAGTTAAGAAAAAAGATGGGAGTTGGAGGTTTTGCATTGATTATAGGGCTCTAAACAATATGACTATAAAGGACAAGTTTCCTATACCTTTAGTTGATGATTTGATGGATGAGTTATGTGGATCGTGCATATACTCAAAAATTGACTTAAGGGCTGGATATCATCAGATAAGAATGGGGGAAAAGGACATTTATAAGACTGCCTTTAGAACACATTTGGGACATTATGAGTTTAGGGTAATGCCTTTTGGATTGACTAATGCTCCTGCCACTTTTCAGTCACTTATGAACCATGTATTCAAGGATTACCTTAGAAAATTTGTGCTGGTGTTTTTTGATGACATTCTAGTATACAGTTCTACTATGGAGGATCATGTTTTACATTTGAGAAAGGTGCTGGAGGTACTAAGGAAGGATCAACTTTATGCCAAGTTGTCCAAGTGCTCATTTGGCCAAACCAAGGTGGAATACCTGGGTCATATAATAACAGGGGAAGGGGTGGCCACAGATCCTTCAAAGGTTGAGGCCATGGCTTCTTGGCCTACTCCTAAGACCATTAAAGCCCTTAGAGGATTTCTGGGCTTGACAGGTTATTACAGGAGGTTCATCAGGTCTTATGGAATGATAAGCAGACCTTTAACCAATTTGCTGAAGAAAAATGGTTTTCACTGGGATGCAGAAGCTGAGAACTCCTTTCAGGCTCTCAAACAAGCCATGACCAGTGCTCCTGTGTTAGCATTGGTTGATTTCACAAAACCCTTCATAATTGAGACTGATGCATGTTCTAAAGGGATAGGGGCAGTTCTGATGCAAGAAGGGAGACCTATTGCCTTTTTTAGCAAGGCTCTAGCTCCTAGGCACTTGGGATTATCTACATATGAGAAAGAATTCATGGCCTTATTATCAGCTGTGGATAAGTGGAGACATTACCTCCAAGGAAGCCATTTTATAATAAGAACATATCATCACAGTTTGAAATTTTTACTAGAGCAAAGGGTAACCACTGCTTTGCAACAGAAGGGTTTGACCAAACTGTTAGGACTTGACTATGAGGTCCAGTATAAGAAGGGTGCTGAAAATAAAGTGGCTGATGCTCTATCTAGGAGACAAGAAGAGGAATAATTCCTGTTTGCATTATCCTCTACTGAACCTACCTGGATGAGTGAGGTAGAGAACAGTTATGAGCATGATCTTGATGCTCATAAAGTGATTACTGAGCTGATAACCAATACTCATGGCAGTAGCCATTACACATTACTGCAAGGAATATTGAGGTATGACCAGAAAATCTACATTGGGAAGGGAACAGACCTAAGGTCCAAGATTTTTCAAGCAATGCACCAGTCTCCATTGGGGGGACACTCTGGACAGCAGGGTACTTACAAAAGGGTTTAAATGATTTTTTATTGGCCTAATATGAGAGCTGATGTCTATAAATGGGTTTCAGAATGTGATACTTGTTAAAGGGTGAAGACTGAGAATATACATACTCCAGGGTTGTTACAACCCTTGCCAATTCCTGAGTTACCATGGCAAGATATAGCCATGGATTTTGTGGAAGGGCTTCCTAGTTCAGGTCACAGAAATGCTATATTAGTGGTGGATGATAGGTTTACTAAGTATGGCCATTTCCTTGCTCTCAAACATCCCTTCACTGCAAAGGATGTGGCTGATTTATTTTTGAAAGACATCTACAAGCTACATGGACTTCCTAAGTCTATTATTTCAGATAGAGATAGTGTGTTCACTAGTCATTTTTGGCAGAGACTATTCAAGTCAATGGGAGTGAAGCTGAATATGTCCACCTCTTACCATCCTCAAACAGATGGGCAATCAGAGAGGTTAAACAGATGTTTGGAAGCCTATCTCAGGGCTATGGTGTTTACTAATCCTAAATAGTGGCTGAAATGGTTACCATTAGCAGAATGGTGGTACAACACTAATCACCACAGCTCCCTAAAGACCACTCCTTTTCAAGCCTTGTACGGGTTTGCCCCACCTCAAATTCCCTTGGGGTCATTACCTCAACCAGCTCAGACACCAGCGGGTAATTGGATAGCCCAGAGGCAACAAATGCTGCAGATCCTTAAAGACAATCTCACTCAAGCCCAAGCAAGAATGAAGTTTTATGCCGATAAGAACAAATCTGACAGAGTTTTGGAGGTGGGCGATTGGGTTTATTTGAAGCTTCAACCTTACAGGCAAGCTTCAGTCACCGTGAGAAAGAATCTTAAGCTAAGTGCTAAGTTCTATGGCCCTTACAAGATACTACAAAGAATAGGGACAGTGGCTTACCGATTAGAGCTCCCACAGGGTTCCCAGATCCACCCTGTATTCCATGTCTCGCAGTTGAAGAAGCGTGTAGGTCCGGACATTGTTCCACAGCCACAACCACCGATCTGTGATGAGGAAGGTTGCATCCTAGTCCAACCAGTAGCAATCTTGAAAAGAAAGATGGTTAAAGTGAATAATGGCGTCGGTGTCAAGGTTTTGGTTCAATGGGCTAACTTGAAGGAAGAAGATGCCACTTGGGAAGATTGGGGGTATCTCAAAAGTAAGTTTCCAGAATTTGTGGCTAATCTCTGACCTTGAGGACAAGGTCATTGTTTTCATCGGAGGGGTATTGTTAGATGTCGGCTAGAAATGAAAATGAAGAAGAAGACTAGGGTATTGAAATAAAGCTCACGTGAGGAGCACATGTTATTTGAACGGCTGAGATGATTTGTCAATAAAGGGCTCAGATTTGTTATTAGTCATTAATGGTCTTTGGGCCAGCTGAGGTGCATATAACAGAATTGGGCCTAACTAATTGGCAGTTGCATCTGGTATTTCCTATTCTCCTTCTCTCAGCTCACTTTCTCTCTCTATTCCTCTCTTCTCATCTTCCTTCTCTCTAACATCTAACATTAATTCTTCAGGTGAAAGCTTGGAATTCCATGGAGAATTGGTGCATTTGAGATTAGAAGCATTTTCTTCTTGTGACTTTTAGTTCTCAATTGTTGTAAACATTCGCTCAGTCAATAAGATCAAGCTTTCAGTTCCAATTTTGCATTTCAATTCCTAAGGATATTACAAGTTGCTCCCCTTCTCTTGCTTCTTTGAGATTTAAAATCATTACTTAATCGTTCTTTTACAATTGAGTGAAGAGACTCAAGTTCAGAAGCTCGAGACTCAGCAAATTTGTGCACATTAATGGTGCGAGGCGAACCTGTTGAGGGTAATTTGGTCTTTTAACATAAAAGGGCAAAATATAAGCCGAAGAAGACTGCTTTTTTGCCTTTGAAAATACCTAACAGAAGTCGATTTTAGGGCGCGGACTCTTTTGCGCGAGAACTCCCACTGGTATCCACACATTGGAAATTTTCTTTTGATTCTTTTAGCTGAAATTTCACTATCTTCTGTACTAATTTTATGCTGCAATCTTCCTGCTTCAGTACAAAAACTAGTTCAGACAGTTATGCATATATATGCTGTGCTTTGTGCATAAGCAAAAGAAAGCCTTGAAGTTCGTTCCTCTATTCTATGGTTCTCTCTTGTAAAAAAACCTCTAAAGATATGTTTGGTAGTTTTGATTTATTTCCTGGGTTGCTCTTCGTGAAGTCCAGAGATAAATTTCTTTGAATCTTTTTTACTGTTTCTGCATTTTGGAGCGTTTAATTTTTCATCTAATCCCCTTGAATTTTATTGCATTTAGTATAGTCTAGGTGTTCAATAATGGGGTGTCTTTAATTGAGATTTTCTTCTACACTTTGATTGTTTTCGTCTTCATCCTTGCCCATGGATCATACTTTTTTGGTACACGGGTTCTATATTACTTCATTGAATTAGTGGATAGTTAGAGGCCATTCATACTTCAAGGCGTGCTATAGCCTATAGAGAAATTAAGCGTGCCACGCATTTTTTACATGCTTTGATGTATCAAAATTGTCAAACAGCTTGGAGTAATTCACATTGTGTCGAAGAAGCTTTACCAAAATTAGGATAAAGACATCTAGCTTCACATATTTAGAGTGGATGTTTCTAGCACTTATCTAAACACTTGAACAGTAAACACGCCCACAATATTTATTTGTGATCCTTCACGCTTGGTTACTTTTTGTTGGGGTAAAGAAGAGAAGAGGCGAAGAAATTTAATTATGCATGAATATTTCATGGTTACTGTACAAGATGACTGTTTTGATGTTCATACATGTCAAAAAAGAAGCTGCATTGGGAGACTATATCCTTCCAAGTAGAACCAAAGACCTACTGAGTATGCTAGAGATGAAATGCTATAGAATATCATGCCTAGACGAACTAATGCACCTAAGTTGGAAGATTGGTTGACCTAGTTCTTGCAAAAGCCTTACATGCTTTGAAGAACAGAGGTTACTTTTCCCTATATCTAGCAAAACCTTATACAAACAACAACAACAACAACATCTGAATCTTCTACCACGCAATTATAGGAGCATGGCACAATTGCAGAAAATGAATTCTAATTGCCATGAGAGCATCATAAAATACTGATGGACCTTTTCATAAAAATATCATAGCCTAGGAGAACACTTGTAATATGCTACAATATTACTTTTCATTACAAATGTTCTCCCACCCACCCGCCCCCATTGCAAAAGAAGAAAAGAGGGAGAGTAGGATAAACATGGAAGACTTTGTGTTCTCTTTTTCAAGTACTCTAGCTAAACCAAAGCTCATCTCTAGAAGCCCGAGCCGAAGCTCTGAAGCTGTGTTAGCTTACAACTAATTAGACTTGCCTAAAGTGTTGACTAACAATAATGCACTCAGGAAGAGACAAAACTAATAAAGCACTTTTTTCACAAGGAAAAAAAAGGAAAAGCAAAGCTTATGCTTGTTTTTTTGAAATTACAGATACATCCCATTGACAGAGACTGCTTGTTGGTGAATTGAAGAGTAGTAGTTTGAACGGTGAAGAGTTCTGGATTTCGGTGATGAAGATGTATGAATACTTTATTTCCTGATTGAAGCCCATTGCTTCAATGAGCTTTTAAGTTCATGGTCTTTGTTGTTGGGTCAATTTCTCATACGATATCTTTTGCAGACTTGAAGCAAATGCAGGTGCTCTCACAAACTTTGAAGTGCTTGACTTTCTACGCTCGAGGGGTGCAGGAAGAGATCCTACACGGGTCATAGTTCCTGTTGCGCCGTCAGAGTTCAAGGTTGGAAGTTACATTATCCAACTTCTTGTTTGAGAGTATTTCATTTGGCCTGGCTGCCCTAGCAATGGCTGATGGTTGTGATCTTCTAGGTGTATGATTATTTAGAGCAAACTGCTGCTTGCAATCAGAAAAGACAAGCAATTGGTGAATTTTTGGAAAAATGCAAAAGTATCAAGCTCGCGAAAGCTGAGATCCTTAACATCATAAATATTAGGCCATCTTCGCTCGTTGAACTTTACCCGGTAATGTTCGAAAAGATGATGCTCTTGATATGTTGACTATTTAAACTTGCAGCATTGTAACTTGTTAGATATCTGTGAGATGTGGTATTATTGTTGCACACCACACGTTTTTTGTACTTGTAAGCAATGGAAAATATAGATAAATGACCATTCCCCAATGGAGAGGAAGCAGGAAAGAAGATATAGTTTACCTCCTTGGTGCAATCATCTAATTTGAGCAAATAAAAAATGGCGTGTTCGTCATGGGTTAGTCGTTAACAATGGTAAGCCCCAAGAGTGTGACCTTGTTATTGAGGTGTTGGGATCCTTGGGTACGCTAAAGGAAATTGGTTTTCTTGATTAGATTTTGAAGGATAAGGATGAGACCATGTATCCTCATGAGCTTCCATGGTTGGTATACAACTGAGTGCATGGTGCTAATGTGTTGCATTTGGATAACTCCCGCCTTGAGGTGCCATTAGATAGCCAGTTGCCAACCATATGTTGAATACATGCTGATTAATTGTATGAACGTCTCTTCCAACTTCAATTTATATAAAAAAACTCTAGCATGCTTTCCGAACCAAATCATGTCATTGAGGTCACCCTTTCATTTACATGTTATTTTGATTTTGCTTGAGGTTCTGATATATATTTGCGTCTCTTAACATATGCAGATAATAGAGGAATATGACAACCGTTTTGGGGAAGCTACAGAAACAATGGAAGAGTTTGTGGAAACTGTGCAGCTGTTGCCACCTCCTCCAAACCAAATGCAGTCTGAACAAGGAACTGCTGCAGACGAAACAGAAGCTCCAGATGGTGAAAAGATAGAGGTTGCCGAATAGACTATGTAGGTCATACAAGAAACCTTTCGGGAAAAGTTTTTTGTTTCTTCGCGAAAGCACTGCAGATACTAGTTTACGTAGATATCATGTTCTACTCTTACAACTTACAAGTACTGAAATTACTAGTTGGCTTGAGCTTTAGTTATAAATGCTTCTTACGGAAGGTCTGAATGCTGATTTCTTTCATTCGTTCCCATATCCCACTTCCCTGCTTTGGCTATTTTTGTCAATCTTGACATTGGCTTCGTACGGCTGGTGCCTGGTAGGCTTTTGTGTTGAATTATATAACGCCAATGAAAATAGAAACTGAGAGACCAATGAGGAAATGATTTGTAATAGTGAGGAAGTTGTTGCTGTTAGAACAGTGGGTATAAATGAATTAGGCTTTGAGCGTGATAAAATCTAGTAATTGTCCCCCACTAGTTTGCTGCTGGTACTTGCAGACAGCAATTTCTGAAAATCTCTCTTTTGAACTTGGACTTTCAAGAGAGCTTTTAGAAAAAATAGAAAGAAGAGGAATTAGAAGAAATCTGCAGTGAATGAACCAATTGTGAAGTAATTTATAGGCAATGCAATTGCAGTTACAGCACTCCTTTTCAAATAACAGACACTACTTATCCATATTGAACCATTATTCGGAAACGGTAGTATTGCAGCGATAATATTGTAACTGCAATTAAGGTTCAAATATGTAATTGAAACTTGAGGTTTACCTTCTCTTCTCTGCAATAAAGCTCTCTTCTCCATCTAACTTTTCAAGCTACTTCAACAGTTACTCCTTCCACTCGTAAAATGTTCGATGCTTGCCTATACTTGTCGTCTCCAGCATCGGATCCATACATTGTATGGTGTAATGAACATTTTAGTCCAAATTCGATACCTATTGCTCATGCAATTTGGGATCCTCATTTTGGTTAATTGTTCGTGAAGCTTTTATTCGAGAAGGTGCTCTTGGCACAACGAATATCGCTTATTCTGGTGTTTATCAGTGATATACAATTGGTTCCAATTTTTGCCTCTTCTTCTCCCTCTGAATCAATCTTTTCCTCGCCGTAATGGTTGCATTCTTATTAGTATCTATGATACAAGTCGAATCCTAGATGTAGAAATAGAAGAAGGTGGACCCCCTCTCCGTCGAAAGAAATAAGATTATACCCTGGACATGGTTATTGGCAAGAACTTATTGAATGTATTGTTTAGGCTCATAATAAATTAGAAGTTGTTCCTGCTACTCAACCGAGGGCCTTGAGCATTGTACAATGACGTGCTGTAGGAGTAACTCATTGCCTTCTGGGTGGAATTGCCGCTGCATGATATATCAAATGATTAATGATGACTCGAATACGTAATTTTTTTTATTAAAAAATTGCAGATTTTAGATGTTGATCTTGATAAAGAATTCCAAATACTTGACATTACTCTAATTCTATCAACTTTCACAACGTCCAACGATTTCAATGCATTTGATTATTCAAATTTTAGATGCAGTTTTTTTATCAAGCAAACTTATCAATTAGTAAAATTTTACTATTTTCTTCCATACTAGTGTAATGTAATATATAAGTGAAAATGAATATTTTTAACTCTATATTCAATCAACTCTATGTCATATAAAATAAAGTTTAAATAGAAGGAGTATCCCTTTTTTACTCAAGTTGCCTGATTCCAGACCAATGTTTATTCAGGAAAATAAAAGAGGTGAAAATTATTTTTTATAAAAAAATGTGAAAAATCAAATGCACCCTCAACTTTAAACTGTACTAGTAGTCGTACCCGCACGATGCGCGGTCAATATTAAAAAATAATTAAATTATAAGCATTCTTGTTTGATACTATTAGACCGTATTGCTTTAATAAATTTCAATTGTCATTTTATTTATCAAGACGATATACCCAACCCTCACCGATATTTGAGTAGTTACTTTAGGTAGTTTATTTATTTGTTAATTTTCAATAAATATTTTTTTTGTTATTAACTAATTATGTCATGTGGCTTTTATCTAGGCTACCACTTGTATTAATGTAGTGCCTTTTTCTTTGGCTTTTAATAATATATAGATAGATTATTAGCATATTACTTGTTTAATATTTTTGTCTGCTATTTTTTTGTAAATAATAGAAGATACATATTTTATTACTCTTGAAAATATATATTTTTTATTTTAAATTTTATTATAATTTTCTCAATAATATTGTTTGAATTTTAATGAATAGATATACTTTTTATTTCAAAAAATAAAAAATAAAATGATTTTAAAGAATGAAATAAAGAAATTAACTAACCTAAACCAACTCTCCCCATGTTTTAGTAGTTAATTTCTTTGCTAATTTTCAATAGATAATTTCTTTGTTATTAACTAATTATTCCATAAGGTTTTTTTCTAGGCTACCACTTGGCATAAGGAGAGGGCTTTATTCTCTCTTTTTAATAATATATAGAAGATATATAGAATATAGAGTATTAGAAAGAAACTACTCCACAATTTGAATCAAAAGTTTTTGATTGCTTTATTTTTGTTTTTTTATTTTAAAACAATTATAAACTCCAACTTGAAACTACTCTCCAATTTGAAATGGTAATTTTTATTTTTTTAGTTTCATTTTTTTATTTTAAAACTCCAACTTAAAACTACTCATCGATTTGAATGGGTAGTTTTTCTTCTTCTTTCTTCGTTATTTTATTATAGTTAATTTTTTTTATTTTAAAATAATTTTAACACTCCAACTTGAAACTACTCCCACCCAATTTGAATGGGTAGTTATTTTTTATATATTTATATTTTCAATTTTTTAATTATGATTAATTA